GAATGTAATGTGTGTAGAAGCAAATGTGTGTATTTGACCTTGGTAAGCGCCTCACATTGTGACACCTCATTTGTTGCACAGAGACTCTTATACATTAAGGGCCCCTTGAAGCGTGACGTCACGCATGCAAGATCCCACCTCCATCTCCACGCTGGAGTGCAAAAACCTGCTTGCTTTTAAATCTGTGTTTTAGCTGTTCAATTATTAATATAAAACACAAAACCTTAAATGTGGTGTTCAAATTGGCAAGTCAGCCTCTCAAGTGTCAGATTAGCTAATGGTAGCAGTAGCTAATCTACCACAGTGATGTTTGGTGTAGGATGTTGTCAGTGGCTATGCTGACAACATAGCCACTGATTATCTCGTCAGTGGTATATATGCTGGTGTATAGCGTAGCCAATAGGGTGCTAGAAAAAAGTAGTTTTGAGTTGTTCTTCAATGGTTAGGGTTAGGGTAGGGTTAGGGTTAGGGTTAGGGTTAGGGATGCCTGTGGCATCCCCTAGTGGATGCCACAGGCATCCACTGTGGATCAGCAGTGGTCCGGGGACCACAGTTTGAGAAAGACTGCTCTTAGTCACACATGCATCATCCGATTGGCACCAAACTTGATATTATTGACCTTTGTGAACTGTTAAAGAGGTCAATAGCATTATATTCCAATTTGACTCCACTGCATCCCCTACAGAATTCCAATAGCTGTTTCTCCTTAATGTATCAATCAATCAGATTTTTTGTTGAGCAGTGCTCATTAGGGAGAACTGCTCAACATATTGATGTGGACTGGTGGGGGAACTGTGTGAGATCGTTGACAGCGGTAAGAAGGTGACGTTGCTCGGTGCGGTTGCCTTGAGGCTGGAGAGGCGTTGAGCTGCTTGAGCCACCAATGCTGCTTACAACCTTAAAAAGGGTTAAATTTATTTGCAATCCTAATTGTCAAGAGGGACATCTGGCTGACACCCACTGAAAAATAAAAAGCCTTGTAAACTATCACAATGTTGGAGTACAGTAAACTCTAAATGTATGTTGCCAAGAATTTTTGTTGATGAACTCTTTTAAAAAAGAAAATACAAGTCATAGATTACCAGTCAGGCATTCTAGTTGCCAGCATTCCCAATACTAAAACAAAGGAAGTAGGCAATCGAGTGGGTGACTGGCCTACTCCTGGTAGTCACCACCAGCTTCTCCAAAAATATTGTGAGTAGTCTCCTTTTTATTTGCCAACACTGGCCACCTTTACCAGTAGAGGCCTGTCATTAAACAGATCCATTGTGGCAAGGTAAATAAAACCTGTGCCTGATTCCAGCAACATATGGCATAGTGTCAGAATTGAATACCGTTATTGTTAGTAGTAGTATTAATGATTTTCATCTTCATATCACAGTCTGTATTTCTTTGTTTTCTTTATGTGTGGACAGTGACGTCTACCTCTCACTGTAACAGCAGTGTAATCCTGTTTTTGCTACAAGAGGACAGATATGACACCAAGTTACATCTTTTCTTTGTGTCAGCTGGCCTCAAGGTGACATGGGCGTGTGCTCTCATCACCAAAGCCAACTGTGACACTTACTCTCCATGGAACTCATTAAGGAGTAAAAGGGTGCATTATTTTATTGCAGAATGTTCAATAAAATAATGCATTTTACTGAAACCAGTCACTTTTTTCATAAAACACCTGCTGGGGCCACACACATGCTCTGAGTAAATGTTGGACTGTCCTTCCAAGGTGATTCGGGCAGGGGACAAAAATGTAATTCAATGTAGCTAAAATTGGATTACGAGAGAAAAAAAACAAACACTAATACAATAATGGTAATACTGTTATAATGGCAGTAGTAATAATCAAGTGAGGGCAAGTTCAGACAATGGATTGAGTCATTAAACCAAAATTTGGTTACAGATCAGTTATACTTCACCAAGAAAGTCTAAAAGGGAAACATCATCAAATCCACAAATACTGAAAATCCCTCCAAAAATGCTTATAATTGCCCATTTTAAAGTTCAAATACTCAAGTTAGTAGAACAATACTTCAGCATGTTTTTACTCCAGTAAAAGGAAAAAGTAGCCGCCAAAGAAATCACTCAAGAGTAAACACGTACTTGGCAAAAGTTACTCAAGTACTGAATAACTGATCAAAACTGTCATGTTCAAGTGTTGAAGGTTCAACGCTACCTGCTGAAGCCTATGAGTCTCCAGCAGGCAGGCAGGAGACTCATAGTGTGATGAAGATGAATTTAATCCCCAAACAAAAAAAATAAATACAAAGTCCAGGTTGTAAAAATTCGAAAACCAACCAACCAAACTTGGGACATGAGGAGGACACAGGAACAGAAACAGGCGGTAAGATCCAACTGGCAACTAGTGCCAGAGAAAAAGGGAGTTAAATATTGGGAATTAGTGGTGAGAAACAATGGAGCAGAGCTGATGAGTTAATTGACCACGAGTCAGCAGAGAAGATACACCGGGGAACACAAATAATGATCAATTACTGAAGGTTTGGTGTCCCAGGGATTTTTTTGTGTAGGGGATATAACAGTTTTGTGTTTAATGGCCCTTTCAGCATGCACAAAAACTCACCAATTTGATAACTTGGATTAGGCCATGCCTTATGAACAAACTGACCAAGTTGGAACCCGATTGATCAAAATCCCTAGGAGGAGTTTGAAAATCAGAACTTCAATCCAAAATAGCTGACTTCCTGTTTGGTGTAGACCATGGCGGACACGTCCATGAAGTTTGGTGGGTTTTAATATGGTGGCCTCCAAAAAGGCAATTCATTTGAGGGAAGAATTTCAATGATAAGAAACGGAGCAATTACAAAAGGCCTTCAAAATACTTTGACTGCTAGAATTTAATTATTTTTCCATTAAACAACATATGTCAATTTACGGACAAAGACACGTCAAGGCTCAAACAACGATGGAAACACTGTCCCTCTCTCACATTGTAGGCCACCACACTGGACAGACTGACTTTTATTTAAAACAAAACTAAACTGCCACTACTAAAAATAAATGCAAACTTTTTTTTTTATCACAATACAATAAGGAAAAATGAATAATAATTCTAATGAAGTGAAGTGGCTTACATTTGTTATTTTCATGATAAGCAATCCGGCAACAAATAAACCTGTCATTATTTGTGCATTTTTGGTCCTAAAATAATCTTTTGCATAAGCCTGTCTAAAAGTTAGTTATCTTTTTCAGCACATTTAAGTTCAAATGCTGGCTCCCGCTTTCGCATAACACTCCGGGAATGCAGAGCTATTGAGCCCTGCTCTGACTAGCATTTATACACTTTGAATTTCCCTAAGATATATTATGGAATAACTATATTTTCTGTTTTATGTGATAGACCAATACAAACTAGCGAATTATGTGAAAAAGTAAGAAACCAATAAATGATTTTCAACATTCAAAAGTTAAAAAAAAAAAAAACATGGTGTGCCTTAATATTCAGCTGTTATGTTTTGAGGTGATGAGGAAGATGCTGAGGACCCAGGGTGGAATGAAGACGTGATGATTTAATGATGAGAAAAACACAATCCAGGCAGCACAGATGAGCAGAAGGCTAATGCTCACAACTGGTAGCAACTGGAAATACAAACAACCGAAGACTGACAAGACGACTTAACACAACCAGACGGCTAGACCAGGCAGATTAGACAAGACAAGGACCCGACAAAGAACAAGGAACACAGGTGGGTTTAAATGCACCGGGAGACAATCAGGGGAAATAAGAAACAGGTGTAACTAATCAAGGGGAAGATGGGATAACAGAGAGACTCCACAGAACACAGAAATCTAAATGAACACATAGAAACAACCAAATCCTTACAAACTCCCCAGAGTGAATATTTTGTAAAGCATCTTTGTGTTTCACTTACAGCTGCATGTGTTCTTTGTTCTCTAGTCTCTAGTGGAAATAAGACAAAATTAACTTGCAAGTAACTTTTCAGCAACATGTAGGAGCTTGTTTGAAGTCAATAATTCCTCATATATATGTAAAAAGTTGTAGTTTCACTGGCAGATTATTTCAACTACAACATGAGGGAATGTCTTGCTATAAGTGAAATAATCTGCCAGTAGAACTTGTACTTTTGCATCATTGTTAATAATTATTATTGGGTGGAATATTGGGCTATCCACCTGGTTCTCTTCTATAATTTCTCCATCGTCTTTCCTCACCCTGGTAAAGAAACATCTTCCGAATAAAGTGCAAAACATCCTACATCTTCTTTCAATCTTTTATCAAAATTGAAAGAAAAAAGCACAAACAGTACAGAAAACAATGCAATTAGTGTGTATTGTGCTGTAAAACGATATAAAACTAAGATTAGCGACTCCTTCAAAGTTCTACTTTCACTGATCGCAGCATAGCGGGTGTTCGGTCAACAAATATTCTCATATCTTCATTTTTCAATTAGCATGGCTTGTTCTTCGAGCATATGCAAGCACAGCAAGGCATCTATTAAAATGCAACTCAAGTGATGAACCTAATTAGAGAAAATTAGATGGCTTTTTGGTATGTGCATTTTTCTCATGCAAATAATCCAAGCGTCTCACTTTTCATCATTCACATACACACAGTAGCCAAAAGAGATGGATCTCAATTCTGCTGATAAACTGGTCTTTGATGCCGATTGGTGTTCTCTGACTTCTGCACTGTTACTAAAACATAATCAAGTCTCTTGATGGTTCGTCCCGGCTGCTAAATAATGCATTTGAAAAGGGAATTAGAGGCAGAATACACCATTTCCTTCCATTTAGAGCTACTTTGCTTTTGCCTTTGGCTTCATCATCACTTCGCAGCAGGAAATCACTCAAACTAATAAAATGCAGCTGACGTGCTGTTCGGAAAGGAGTGGATCTCAAGAATTCTTTTTTCCCCCAACATCATTGGAACATTAGAGAAGCTCACAGTAGCAGTGGGCAGTGGGCCAAATGGACCCTTTCACAAGGCAAAGAATCATTTTTCCTAGAAGCTCGCTTCTGACGGAGAAAGCAAGCTGCTCCCACACCCAAGATGAGAATACAATGTTTTCACCCTGATTCCACCTTGGGGTGCATTTTTTTTATTATTACTAGTATTATTATTATTTTTTGAAGACATTAAGTCGTTTTGACCACCAGTTGTGAGTAACTGCATGTTTATATTTCTTGAGAAAATCAGGTTTGCCAGACCTGATGCGTTTCTTTTATGTGATGCAATGGAGCAGATGGCAGCTGAAACCACTCTGAAACCTGAAATGGAAGACAAAGGAGTAGCGAACATAAAGGATGACGAGCCTGCATGGGCTAGAGAAGGTAAGAAGGGGAAGGGGTCTGAGGTGTGTGAAAAATATCTCAGTGCTACTTTTGAATCGTTATGTGGCCTGTAAATGTTTATTACGGTAGCTAAAGTTAGTGTCATATTCCTTTATTATAGTCATTTTATGTTCATAAGTGATAATATTGTTGTTTCATGACCATTTTCAAATGATATATTGCTACTTGCAATATATTACTTTTTTTATTTTTGGGACTTTGTCCTCTCAAAGATTAATAAACTTATATGTATTGTTTTTGATTGTTGTGTTTAATTTGGATATTTAAATGTCTTCCAGTTTCAGGGCCAAGTGTTCTGTACAAAATCTAACAAAAAGAAAAAAACACGCACTACTGAAAGTATAAATAAAATGGTTTATGAGGTCTCTGTCAGTAAAAATTGTTAATCTCATATTTAAATTAATTGATTAATTGCTTATAGTCAGAGCTTCATGTTTTTTCTGGTTTTTATCTGCAAAATAGCTGCAAGGGGGCAACGGGCAAATACCCGTGTTTGAACGGACGGCGGAGTCCGGCGGTAACAGGCGCTGTGGTTGTGTGGCAGAGTAGTCATCTTGCAATCGGAAGGTTGTAGGTTTGATTCCAGCTACCTGCCACATGTCGATGTGCCTGTGGGCAAGGCACTTAACCCTAAATTGCCTACCGGTCTGCGTATCGGTGTATGAATGTGTGTGTGAATAGGTGAATGTGACTCTAGTGTAAAGCGCTTTGAGTGGTCAAAATGACTGGAAAAGCGCAATATAAGTTCAGTCCATTTACCATTTAAATTCCGTGACAAAAAGAAAAGGAAAAAAAAAAAAAAACACTTGGTATTTTATTCTATGTTGCATGACTTTGTGTTTTGTGTTTATAATGTAAAGTAATTTGAAATGCCTGGTAGCTGAAATGTGCTATACAAATAAAATTTGATTGATTGATTGAAGTCAGTCAGACTGAACAGAAGATCAATTTAAAAACTTTTGGTGAATTCTCAATTGGATTTGAGTCTGGAATTGGACTGGACCAATATAGCACAGTTTCTTTTGTTGCAGCATATAACTTTCTCCCGTACTTTTTTTGTGTTTAGATCCTTGAGTACGCCCCACAGCAAGATGTTGCCACTACCATGTTTCTCTGTCAAAATGATGCACATTCTTTTTCAGTCTATGTTTTCTGTGTTTCTTGCAATTTATGATGCTCCTTGTTCACTAATGTTCTCTAACAAATCTCAAAGGCCTTCAAAGGACAACTTTATATACACTACATTACACACTAAGGACTTAATTGGATTAGTGCAAAAGAGGCCAGAATCCCAAAGTTGAAAGTACTAAGTGGACATTCTATTTTTCCAACTTCAAAATAATTTGTATCTGCTCAGCAGTATATTCAATGTGCAATATTTCTTAATGAAACAAAGTGGCTTTTTTATTTCTGTCAAAAGGCAGAGAGTTTCCAAACGTTTTAGGTAATTTTTTCTGTTTTTTAGTTTTGAAAATCTTTTTGTCTATTCCCACTAACAAGAACAACAATTTTCTTTTAAAAACAAATCTTCTTCTATTGAACAAGTTTAATAAATGGATGTTACAGGATGTTTCCAACTCTACTTACAATGAAACAAAACTACTTAAAATAAGAAAAGTATTTGTGCCTATAACTTTCCATTAAAGAATTAAAATTGTCATTGAAATTCTCATAGAATTTCAGATCGCAGTGCCCCAAACAGGGCCACACAAAATTGTTCCAAGAGACACAAATGTCCTGTGGACCACACTTTGGACACCCCTGAATTAGTGGTTATTATAAGACAATTGGATTTTATTTAGAGGTTGCCACACTTACTTGTAAATAATAATGAGAACCAAATATTTTCCTTCATCTCATGAAAAAAATAAGTGTAATTATATCATGTATTTCATGTAAAACATGTTCAGGTTGCTTTTTAGCTTACCATGAGTTATGTAAGTTATGTAAGTACTGTTACATAACTAAGAAAGTTCATATTTATTTCTGAACTTCTGACCATAAACAATACAAAGAAATATTTTTTTCTATTTTTTTCACAGAAAGATTCCAAAGTGTGAATGCCTCTGCAGAAGACAAGCAAGGGGAAAGCAGTCCTCAGCAGCGAGGTGACAGCCTTTTCCCTCTAAAAGAGAGTCAAAGAAAATCTCCTTCATGTGTCATGACAAGTGGTCTGACTTCCCCTCCGAAGAGTACCATGGGAGGTGAGTGAAGGCTGCAAGCGGAGCATTCTTTACTCCACTTATACTTTGTTTTATAAACCTCTGGATAGACAGACTCACATTTCTGTAGCAAGTTCTCTCCTTTGATGTAAAAACTGTTGTTAATTATTTCTGCAGAATGAATAGCACATATTGTTTATCGCTCGATGCTGTGAAAATGCCTCAATATATTTCACTCTATTCTGAATCTTTCAAGATCAGGCCCTTTTGGCACATAAAATACCAATAAATGTTTCTGATTATAACATGACAAAATGTGGAAAGGTTTTAAGTAAATCTATCCAAATTCTAGAAAAACCAATAAAAATATATTATATATTCTAAAACACCAGCCCAGCAAATGAGCTTACGGTAACCTAATATGAACCAACTGTTGATGTAAAAAGTGATGGTCTGTCAAAAACCTATCAGGTGAGATTGTGTGTGGCCGAGGAGCACAGTCTGATTGAATGTCTTGACAAGTGGTTTCGAATGACTTTCTCTGTCGTTTAGTCCTTTTATTCAAATTATGTTAACACCGATAGCATATGTAATTTTATGTCCAAAAATTCATCTTGTTTACCCTTTTCTGCCCAGTGAAATGCAATGTCTGCATGAAATGACTTTTTCACTCAAAGGGATCATGTCACAGATATGTTTTGAAAAACATCTAAATAAATGTACTTGTAATTAAAACTTGAAAGGCCTGGGGGGCATGAAGTTGGAGGTATAATAATAATAATAATACATTTAATTTAAATGAGTATCTCAAAATAACACAAGAACATTGAAAAAAATTGATCAAAAATAAGGCTCTAAACAGTTAGATTTAACTCAACTCCGCAAATTAGTGTTTCCGTTTCCACCTCCAAAATACAAATGCAAAACATCTGTAATCTGGCTCAGGTTTAATTCTCTGATCATCAGCATATATTTCATATATTCATAAAGGCAGACACTCGGGAATGTCCAGCTATACCAGTCATTTTGTGGACACAATCCTGTCTGCTCAGGATTTTTTCTTTCTTTTATGGGAAAAAATAATGTTCAAAAAAATATCTGTCTATAGGACGCTGATAGAGACGCATCCCAAAAGAGCTGCAGATGCTACAAGGTCACTACAGATCACTACAAGGTCTTAACTCAAGAACAACTCAAACACATGCCATGCTTTTTATATTTTTATTGACCAAAAAATGGAAGCCATGTATTTCCAATCACGCTTTGCTCTGCTTATCTATAGCATGAAGTCTCAATTAAACACATTATTGCTATAACAGCAAATTCCAGCATCATAATTTTTGCACAACACTGTATATTGCCTAGGCATTGTCTGCAAAATGTAATTTGATTGTAATCAGTTCTTAAAAGCCAGCTCAATTAGAAAGACAATAAACCATCAGCTTGGAGGTGAGGCCTCTCTAAAAGCTCTGCAGCCAAGTTGGGAGGATTTTCCTGTGACATTGTCTTCTATGAGTCACTGGCTCCTCATGGTCAGCGTTTGATGATCTCACACTTTATAGCTCCCAGGGGGGAAGCTTTAAAGCTTGCCTCTTCTGGCAAAGGAGGCTGGAAAGCTTTGTTTCAGTTCAAGCATAAGGCACATTGACAAAACTCCTGACAAAGTGTACAACAGGCTTCTGGTAATCGATGATGTCTCTGAGCAGCTTTCTTGCCCCTCTCTCTATATAAGAGGAAGGCATGATTTTCTAAATTATGCATGGGAATGGGAGGAAAAGAAGCTTTTAAACCGTTATAAGAAATGAGCAAAGACAAGCAGCTGGGGGCTGAGATGATTTACATTGCATAGCGAGTGTTTGTGCTCTGCGAGTTTTTATGAATGGCACATAAAAACTCAGAGATTTTACTCTTTGAATAACAGCTCTAATAGCAATGTGCATTTCAAATATTATAAAAAGAAAAAGATCCAAAAAACACGAGTCAGTATTAGTAGTAATACAATTATAACTTTAATCTCCTAGATTACGACTGTATTCTCATTATTTTGACTTAATTCTCAAACTGGTACTTTATTCTTGTACCAGTTTATTCTTGCAATAAAATGACTTTATTCTCATATTATCTCAACTTTATTCTCATACTACAGTGACTTTATGCTCATAATACTTTTTTATTCTTGTAATTTTATAATTTTATTCTCATAATTTTATTTATTTTTATTTTCTTGTGTGGCCATAGAACTTCACCATACAAACAGGAAAACTAAAAGTTCAAATGTCGGAATGGAAAATTATGTTTCCCTGAGTAACCTCATTTATCAGGCTATGAATACATGGAAATACTCTGCATGGAAGAAAGAACAGGGAAAACAGCTAGAAGAAAAGACAAACTAGAACAAACCATGGTTTAATGAGCAGATTTTCTATGTTTGCATCCCTCAGTTGACTATGCCGACATTGTCCTGAACTGCCTCTTCTGCCGCTTTCACGACATGGTCCCCATGCTGCCTGATTGCTGCCAAGGACTCACCAATCATTGTTGGGGCAGCTACAGGCATGTTGTCCACACTGGAGAGTCTTTGCACAGTGACGATGATGACTCTTGTGTGGAACTGGATTGTGGTTTGTTTGGGAACTGCCAAGATGCGAGCGACTGTCTGGAACTGGCTATGGAGGTTTCTGAAATATGCTACCATTAGGGGAACCCCAAAGTCTGTGAGAAAGGCAGCGTTTGAGGATTAAAAGACCCAAATTGTCAGAGAATAATAAGAGGAATAATAAGTTTGATGTTTCCCTATGTATAGCTCTATGTATGTGTGCACAGATGGTTGTCATGAGATTGTAATAAACTTGTTTTACAAATTACATACTATCATTGTTCTTTGTTATGACGTGATCAAATGTGCACATAACTCAGTTGTAACAGACAAGTGTTTTAATACACATTTATGGAAAATGTTCCCGATTAATGCTACTGAATTATGTTTTTTGAAGGTGCTTGCAATTTGATACACCAATCTCTGCTGAAGTCATTTTTAATCTCTGTCACATTGTTTCTTGTCTTGCCATATATTGAAATCACATACCATGTAGGTCTTTGAAGAATTATATGTCTTCTTATTCTAAATTCTAATTCTCTATTCTAAATGGGGTTTATATAGTGGGACCAAAGATGTGGACATCACAGTGTTCTGCAACAGCAAGATCAAGTTAGTTACTTTTGCTGATTCTTTTATATATATATATATATATATATATATATATATATATATATATATATATATATATATATATATATAGAATTACTTTTCAATTCTCAATGCTTAGGCAGCCAAGTTAATCAGAAATTAATGCAAGATACCAGATTCACTTTTAATTTCAAGCATCCAGCATATTCATGAGTGATTCTTGATCTGCTCCATTGCAAAGCTTATGGAGCGTTGCAATACTCCATAAGCAATGCATCAACATCAGTAAAAGACATCATTAGATGTCTTCTACATCTATTTATGTAGAAGACTCATGGTCAGTTGAGTCACAAATCTTTTTTTTTATTATTGTATCATACCATCATTTGAAAACTGCATTTTATATTTAGTCGGGTTTTCTTTGATGTCAAAATTTCTTCAATAATCTGAAACAATCAGGCGTGAAGGGAGCAGAAATAGAAGAAATCTGTGATGGGGAAAGCACTTTTCCCAGCCTTGTGCTTTATTACAGTGGGTATCTACAACAAGTAACCTGTTGGCCTGCACATTCAGTCGCTGTTCTGTTGATACAATGACACGCCAACAAGCACTTCAGCTTCAGCATGATAGTCTTTGTAAAGTGCTGAAAAAATCTTGAAGCCTGTCCCCTTTTGAGTGGGCCAATTTAAGTTCAAGCACCACTGAAAACTTGTAAGTTGTCAGATGTGGAATTTGTAGGACACTTGTCTTTGTTACTCCCCTCAACCCTCATGCTCAAAGACAATTCTCTCAAGTGGGAGATCACTGTTTAGATCACTTCATTCTGAAATATGTCCTTGTAAAACTACAGAAAATAGACACTGCTCTGTCAGTTAGATAAATTGTAGACAGAAAACTATTATGTAGTAGGAGCTTCATCTTCAATCTAGAAATGCATGTCCACCAAAGTTTTCTCCAGTCCGGTAATTCTTCATATTAATTGAGGTGGCGTCTGCAGGTGGCATCCACCGTCAATCCCCTTTGGTCCTGTTTGTGTAAAAGCCGTGTGCGTTTTCTATGATGTAAATGTCCGATATTGGTGTTCGTGTCGGTGGGGACATTCTTATGTTTGGCTGCCGACGATGCAGGAGTTTACCTGTAATAGCTCAGGTTGCGCTATACTCTGTCATATATATATTATTGTATTAGTATTATGTAATAGCATTTACCGCTAACTTATATTTCTGCCAGTTTTGTCATTTGTGTGTTCTTTATATTTGACCAATGCTGTTGTGGTGCCCTCCGGTGGATTTATGTGGTGCTGCAGACCATTCTTTGTCGTGTATCTATGTGTAACCGTTCTTGCTCGCATGGTTATTAATGTACCTTTATTGTTCTTTCTGTTTCACACCAACACAACTTTCACCTACTATTATTCTATGCTTATCATTCTACAATAAACCTTCGGAGCTGCATCTACGGAGTCTGCCTATTCATTCTAACCGAGGATGATTCAATTGATGGGAGACCTGGAATTAGTGTTTGTCCAACGCACACGTCTTTTACAGCGTCTGTCACACAGACGGCATTTATGTACGCTGTAATGCCTCTTGGGGATCCATCCTCTCGGCGAGCGTGTGATGTCACCAGCGTACCTGAATCTGAGCAACCTCATCAGCGGCAGGTTCAAGAGGAGCTGACTGCCAGTCCTTCGGCGCCTCTGCGTTAGCCTGTAACGGTACCTCTGAGCCCCGTGTTCCTCGTTGATCTACTTCCTGGTGATTATTTCCTGTTGTTCTCCTGCCTTCAGGTGATCCCCCGTGACGCCCTGGATCCACTCTGTGCTGATCCTTCTGGTTTTCTGACAGAGACCTTCTTCGTAATGCCGTGGAACATATCCACTGGTTGCCCTAGTTCCCAGACTCACTTTCTCCGTGTGATTACAAGTTCCTCCTGGATTCCACGACTGGCAGTCGCACTGCTCCTCTGTTCCTGCTGATCCTGAGCCTACCTGTCCGCCCTCCGACGTACTCCACCATTGCCTCCTGGATTTCCGGCAACACACACACACCTGGACCCACAGAGAGACTGTGACCCTGGACATTTCAGTTAACACTCCCAAAACCTCAACCTGTCAGCTCACAAGTAAGCTCTGTCCAGTTTATCTGACAACACTCTCAATTCGACAGCTCTGAACTCGCCACCCTGCGCTGCCTATCTTATGTGCCGATCGCTCCGTGAACCCGATTCCTCCCTGGACCAGGCCCGAGCTTCCCTTTCCATTACTTGCTGTGTTTCAATAAACTTCATTATTTATTTCACATCCACTCTCCTGTGTTGTGTTCTGCATGTGGGCTTGAAATTTAATTTTAGATACCTTTGGCAATCAAAGTTTTTCTTAGGATTTGTTCACAATTATAGATTTAATCTTATGGTCAAAAATCACAATCTGTGAACAATGCTTAAGTCACATGGAATGAAGATTTCTCTGAATATGTTGGGATAAAAAACAAAGCAATCCACATCCAATCAATAGGATATGACATATTGGCATTAGCATTTGTATATTTTTTACATATAGTCCAATTAATATCAGATATTAATTAAATGGAACAATATTTCCAATATATTCTTTGTGTTTCAGGAAGAGTAATATACATTCCTTTTGATATATTTTATTGGTTATTGGCATCGGCCCAAATGATCACATTGGTTCATTCCTAATATTCTATTGGATAAAAATCTTTTAAAGAGACAAGTCTTACTTATACCATGTCTATGTGCTAGGACTGCAGCTCCTGCTTAGTTCTAAGGAAATTAACTTCGTAAGGGGTATAGACTATTTATGAAGACCCATTATGATGAGTAACCAATGGAAACAGTGCTCCCTTACCCAGACGTGGGTCACCGGGGCCCCTCTCTGAAGCCAGGCCTGGAGGTGGGGCACGCTGGCGAGCACCTAGTGCAGGGCCAGCCCAAGCAGCCATAGGGAAATTTGGTTTTGCGGCCCTCTAGTTTTGTTAATAATATGGACTGGCTGCATTGAAAAGTCAGATTATTAGATCATTCACACACCTGCTAAAATTATTGCCTCTCTGACAGTGCTGTTTACATTGAATCCTATATGCATCTATAATGTGAGATAATTTATTGGCTGACTTAACTGCGCCAGTTTTCTTAACTTTGGAGGATCGCTGTTGAGCCAATATTTACATGTGAAGCCAGTCTTATCCACCGAAGGTTTACAAATCAGCCTCTGTCCTCTTCTGCTCTGCAGTGAGAAGTTTGACTCACAAACTGGTCCACCAAGTCATGTCTGCATGTTTGCATTTAACAATATTTACCCCAATGTTGCTAACACACCAGATTTCTTGCTAAATTTAGGAACATTTCAGACAAAAAAAATTGGTATCAGCCAAAATCAAAATCAGGCTTTTTAAAAATCGGCAATCTCCCAGAAATTGCCCAGAATTTCAAACTTAGGATTGGGGTGCACCCAATCCTGAATTGGGTGCACCCCAACTTAGGATGGAATACATACGTATTCATGACATACTTTTATTAAATTAATTTTTCTTAAGCATAACTCCAATAGTTAAAAATTGTATTTACACCAGGCGAGTCTTTCTCCCATGAGGATGTGGACTAACACTAGACTAGACAGATTCTGTGCCTTCAAACAATTTTAATTGAAAAAGTTTCACATAAGTTATAAGTTGATGTATAAATAATGTTTGTTTTAGATGCATAAGACAAACCATAATAAGTTTGGTTTATGCTATACACAGTATATCACTAATTACAGTTTAGAGTAGCTCATTGATATGTTAATGCAGTAGCCATATAGCTCGACGTAAAAACATTTTGCTAGATAATGTCAAACATTGAGAAGTTTTGTTATCAAATGTTATAAATCCCTCAGAAACATACAGAGCCAACCATGAAAATAAGTTTAAAGTTAAAACTCAGTTTTACAACATGAAACATTGTAGCTTTTGGTTTGTGATGAAAAATCAAACAGAATCCAGAAATTGTAGAGCTCTATTTTTTTTCCCTTTATGCAGTTCTTCCAAAATTTCATTCCAACTCACAATATGGAGTTGGAATGAAAGAGGAGGGCAAGTCTCCCTCTGATCTAAATCACCTGGCTTTGAAAGCATTGGCTCCTACTCGGACTAATTGAGAGTTATCCTCTTAGTTTTCTCTGTCACTGAAGGATAAATCCTTTTTTGCGACATTATTTTGATAACGTATCTTCCTCTGGTGCGTAGGAGATTTGAATGCGCACTGCACAGCAGTTAATATTACTGTGCAATGCTCTACCAACCGCGGTCACCAGGGGGCCTACAAGATATATTATTGTAAAAGAATCACAACTTCATAATAAAGTTGTGTGCTTTTGTTAATATAATCACATCAAAATTATTACAAAAATGAAAAAATTGTTCCACTTACGGGGCCCCCTAGTGGCCCTGGGCCCCTAAACGGTGGCTTAGTTTGTTTGTGCCTTGGGCTCGCCCTGGTCTGGTGGCTGGGCTTTAACCCATGAAGCCCAGCACAGCCTTAAGAGAAGACATGGGTCCCACTTCCCATGGACTTACCACCTGTGGGAGGGGCCAAAGGGGTCGGGTCCAGTGTGGGATGGGTGGTAGCCGAGGGCAGGGGCACATTTCTGGCAGTAAGTCGGTCTCATTTCTGAAGAGAGTTGGACTCTGCCAAGGCTGCCTTTTGTCACCAATTCAGTTCATTACTATCATGGACAGAATTTCTAGGCACAGCCAAGGCGTTGAGAGCATCCATTGTTGTGGTCTTAGGATTGCATCTCTGCTTTTTCCAGATGATGTGGTCTACTGGCTTCATCGGGTTATGATCTACAGGATTCACTCGAGCACTTCGCAGGTGAGTGTGAAGTGGGCGGGATGAGAATCAGGCCATGGTCTCGAGTCAGAAAAGGGTAGACTGCCTTCTCCCAATTGGGAGGATGTTCTGCCCCAAATGGAGAAG